TCCCTGACCAGAGCTCTGGGAATAGCCTATTCCACACCATCACACTACATCTTTGCTCAGCAAGCCAGCCTCTTCGGTGATCTGTACGAAGTCATCATACCTGAGGTATAAAGATTTTAACAAAGGAGTTATGATTCCTGAACAATTTAACTCACACTGTATTTATGTTTTGGAAGATAATTTGATTTGTTAGACTTTGAAATAATTATTTTATATTTCTATCTTCTTCTTCTCCATTTGTTCTGTAGCTTGGTATGGAGGAGGACTGCTGTCAGCGGGTGGTGTCTCAACTGTGTGGTGCACTCTCCCACCTGCACTCTCTTGGTTTTGTCCACAGAGATCTCAAACCAGAAAACGTCTTCCTTTGTGACTCTGCCTGCCGCTGGGTCAAACTGGGAGACTTTGGCATGGTCAGTACGAAGGACTAAACTAACATAAATAACAATAGCATCTAGCTGGCAGGTCTATTAACAAGCTGTTCGCTAAGATATGATGCAGAAGAAAACCAAGTAAAAGCAGCCGCCTATGGCTCAGATGTGTTCTGCACAAGACTTATGGTATATTTTATCTAATTTATCCATATTTGCATCCACTATCAGTCTAAATGTGGCAAATCAATATTTACCCAGGTAAAGTCCAGGGGAACCAGGATCCCAGAAGTCTGGTACAGTTCTCCTTACTGCACCCCCGAGGCTGAGATTGCTCGAGGAAACAACGACAGCAGCAATATAACTGATGGAAATGATGGCATCAAGGATGGTGAAGAGAAGAAGAAAAAGAGAGTTTGGGTTTCCGTGGAGCCAAGTACAGACAGCTGGGCGCTGGGCATCCTGACATACGCCATGCTTACCGGCAGCCACCCCTGGGCTGAAACGGCCAGCGACTGCCACTCATACCTGAAATATCAAGAGTGGTTTGAAAGAAGTAAAAGCCCCAACGATGAACTGGACGTGTGGGCTGAGCCACAAACAGAGAGCCCGCAGGATCTGGATGAGGCTGGACTGGAAAAGAAGAACCACATTCCCAAAGCTCCCCAGTTTGCATGTTTCACCCATTTGGCCTGTTCCTTTTTCCAGTCACTCCTCAACCCACGGCCACAGCTTCGTAGGCAACCTGACGAGGCTTTGAGTTACCTGGGAGGAGACTGGATGATGGAGAAAGAGAGGGTGAGGCTGGAGAAGGCGCGTAAGAAGAGTAGAGGGAAAGGAGGGATCAGAAACACGAAAGAGATGGAGGGGAGAGGAGAGCGTTAAGTTAACAAAGTCTACCAAAACTAAGCTGAAAGAGACGAATGTCTTTCTATGCTTTCTATGCAAAAGCCTCCTGGAGATCTCTTCCTGTTAAAAGGAGTTCTTC